TCTGGGCCCTATCTGTCTGTTGCTCTTCCTCCCTCGGTTGCGTCGCTATCTCTAAAGTCTTGGGCACTGCAGTACTTGTAACCCAGGACCCTCGCATCTGGATCATCCATCTTATCTGTCTTCTGATTCTGCGACGCATATAAGTGCTATTTCGACCTTGATTTTAGACCGGTGGCTTCCCCGAGTCTTCCGAGCAAGACGTGACCAACTTTCCGATTCTGTGCTTCAGGGTGCTTCAAGCATCCTGTCTCGCGCTTGTCTCTGTCGGCGCGCGCGACATCACCTTCGATTTCGCGCGCGGTATCTCCATATAAGTATACGACCCTCCACGTCGGATTGCAATGTGCATGCCAGTTGATGCCAGTCTACGCTAGGTCCCAACATAACCTGAGGCATGGGCAACGCATAAAACTCCCTGACACATCCCGCACCCATTTAGCCTTCCCCGCCTCCGCGAAACGTGAAACGCCGGAGACACCGTGACCGTATACAAAAATCGCGGATACCTGGGTCCTATACCTCAATCTACCTCAGTGGGGCGCTAGCGGCGATATCGCATCACCTCAGCGGGCCGTCCTATGTGCGGATACCGCTTTTAATATTTATAGCAATCTAATCGGACCCCAGGCTGTCACCGGTCAGCGCTTGCTATACTTATACGTCGGGCGCATCAAAAGCCAAAAGCCAGCATGTGTATGCTACTTATGACTCTGAACAACAGGACTTCTTGAAGTTGAACGTTGTTGAGCTTGTCGAGTGTATGGCACCCGGCGCTCCTCTCGAATTTTACGGGGCAGGAAAGGAGGATTTTTATCAAGGTGGCGTGTGAGTGTCTCGATTTTCGCCCACTAGAAACGCTTCCGCAGAGCGGACGACGGACCTGACGTACTCAAATGACTCCTTGCACCGCCGCGCAGGATAAAATCCATATTTCAGCTGCACCGGGAACCCAGTTCGATGTGAACGCTCAGGGCTCCTCTAAATCAAGCGCTGGATTCTTGCGGTTCGGCTTCGGGTTCGATGACAACGGACTCGCCATTTCCAAATAAATGAACTAAAGCTAAAACGACGAAACCGCAGGTATCCCTTCAAGCACGAAGCGGGCCTGGTCGCTCTGAAAATGCCAACCAACGCATTTTCGTCCTCCCGTGCGCATCGCGAGCGCAGTTTCCGCTGGCCCGAGCGTGCTTTGATTTCAGCGACAACGTCAGCCATGCGGGACCTTTTGGCTGGGTCTTCATTCGTCATGTCGGCGATCAGGCCGTCCAGGAATCGGAGCCCCCGTACTTTGGAGCGATTAGGTGAGCCCTGTGCAACCTCAGATAAATTTCCATTTCTTAAAAAGAAAAAAGAAATAGAGAGAAAGGAAACAAAACATATGCCGGACATACCTCAGTCAACGTTCGTCGAATCATGTTGCCCAGACACCAGACGTCCACAGCGAAGGGGTCACACATACTGTCTTCGAACGCAAACTTAGGGTTGAGTGCGCGCAGGTCCCTCCGCCGCATTAATATTGTGCTCCCCCGATAGGTCAAAGTCGATCCAGTAATATCTCACTGGGTTCCGCGTACGCGTCGAATAATGCGCTTCGTGAGCCACGTCGCGCGTCCTTTCTGGCATAAACGGGTGGGCGCTTGAAATCTGGATCGGCAAACAGATCCCAGCGTTTGTCGTTCCAAAAGAAGGGATTGCTTCAATGAGGCGTGCAAGAAGGGAAACAGCGAACCACCCGATCTGATCCGTTGAAATGCGTGGACAAGTAAAGGAGCACAGCCTCGAGCTCTCTTTGCCTCAACACAAATTCTCCGAAATTGGCTTGCCCGTGCTAAATTGGTGCCCGTTCAAACGGCGAGTCCACCAAGACTCCTAGAAGTGCTTTCTGAAACCACTTCTCACGCACGGCCCGCCGGAAGTTCATACATACTCGATAGAGCGTAAAAAACTTGTGCGCTTACAACTGAAACAAGCGTTCCTATGGGATGTTCTCACTCCAACGACACGGACGACGTGCTGGCGAAAAAGATTTCATAAAATGGTGCGTTCTATTGCTTGGAGGAACGGTTAGCTTCCGTCAACACCGTCGGAGGCCCCGCCGGCGCCGACGGAGCCAACCAAACGTGCCAAAGAAACACACATGGTGAAGCTCTTCCTCATGCGAAGTAAGTACAGAGATATATAAAGCGTGCATTAATTCTTCGGTGGTCCTCAAGAATTTCGCACCATGAAGTCGCTCGCATTCACCGTCCTCGCAGCATTTTTGAACATAATTTGCGTCCACGCAGCATCTGCAAAAGATGGTCCGAACATCGTCTTCATATTGACTGATGATCAAGGTTCGAGCTTCCTCCCTTTTAATATTTCTTCACTAAATAAATTGACGTCGGTAGACAAGCTTATGGGCTCGTTGGATTACATGCCGAATGTCAAGGAACATCTGACGGACAAAGGTGTATCCTATGAGCGTCACTACTGCACCGTCGCCCTGTGTTGCCCGTCCAGAGTCGGTATCCTGACGGGAAGAGCTGCTCAGTATGTGCTTCTTCCTCATCTCGAATTAATTCTAACGATTCATCAGCAATACGAATGTCACCGACATCATCCCTCCTTACGGTAATTAATACCTCTTTTTCAACGCCGAGGAGATCGCCGACGAATCCCAGGCGGATACACCAAGTTCACTGAGGAGGGGCTCGAAAAGGATTACCTCCCCGTGTGGCTGCAAAACGCCGGCTACAATACGTACTACGCGGGAAAGCTCCTGAACGGCCATGCGGTCGTCAACTACAATGATCCATTTACAGAAGGTTTCAACGCTAGCTCGTGCGTCCCAACCGCGGTTCGGCGCATTCGACTTTGCTGATTAAACTTACCGCAGCTTCCTCCTTGATCCTGGGCAGTACGTCTACATGAACAGCATCTGGCAGACGGGCACCGACGCGCCCGAGAGCTTCCCGGGCCAACACATCCTTGATCTCAATAACGAGCACGCGTTCGCGTACCTAGACGACGCGGTGGAGAAGGACGTCCCATTTTTCCTTGCCATTGCCCCCGTCGCGCCTCACGCACAAGTCATTGTCGACCTAGACGATATCGCAAACCGCAACATCTCCGCGCCAGTCCCGCAAGCCAAATGGAACACGTCGTTCCTCAACGAAAAGGTGCCCCGTACGCCGAACTTCAATCCCGATGTAGTACGTCTTCCGATGTTTCCAGCTTGCGTGTGCGATTCTGACTTTTAGTCTTAGCCCAGGTAAAAGAGACTGTTTCTTTGTATGTCGCACGAGCTGATTTGTTGAAGCTCTGGCTCCTGGATCCGGGACCTCCCTCAGCTCGACCAGAACACTCTCGACTACAATGACGCGTTTTATGTTGCGCGGCTGCAGCTCCTCGCTGGGCTCGACGAGATGGTGGGCGAGGTGGTCTCCCGCTTGGACGCCGCGGGGCTCTTGGAGTCGACGTACATCGTCTACACGACCGACAACGGGTTCCACATTGGGCAGCACAGACTGCAGCCCGGAAAGTCGTGCCCCATCGAGGAGGATTACATCGTCCCGATGATTATTCGGGGGCCGGGCGTCCCTGCTGGGGAGGTAAGCCTCATTTTCCCCCAACGATTTTAGCGTGTGTGGACTGCGTTTTTTTTTCCAGGTCGTCAACACTGTCACGACGCACACCGACTTTGCGCCGACGTTCTTCGAGATGCTTGGCATCGCGCTGCACGACGACTTTGACGGCTCGCCGATTCCGTTCACGGCTGCGCAAATCTCAGCGGCGAGCAAGGACACTTCCAAGTCGGAGCACATCGACATGGAGTACTGGGGGAACCTCAATGGCCGCAACGAGGGCAATTCCGGAAGTACCGTGCCAACCAACAACACTTACAAGTCCGTGCGGTTGATCGGCCCCTCGTACAGTCTTTTCTACACTGTCTGGTGCGACAACAGTCACGAGCTTTATGTGAGTCCAGCTGCCCTTTCTTTGATGATTTTTATTGAATGACTTGTGCGCAGGATATGAATGCGGATCCGTATCAGATGGACAATTTGCTGCTTGATTCCAACGTCACCTCGGGAAGCGACCTTACTTCAAGTCTCAGCGTTTCTACTGTCTCTGCCTCTCGCGTCGTAGGTGGTTTTCGATGCGTCATCGACCGCCTAGCTGACATCGACAGCAGAATTCCACCAGCGCCGCCACACCCACTTCTAGTTCTACGCAGGTATCTGTGACCCACGATATTCCGCAGCTCGTGGCGCGCATGGACGCTCTCACCATGGTGCTCAAGTCGTGCAAATCGGACTCCTGCCGGAACCCCTGGAACGTCCTGCACCCCCAGGGAGATGTCCAGAACCTGGGAGACGCGATGGCGCACAAGTTCGACGCGTTTTATGCGTCGCAGCCTAAGGTGTCGTTCTCGGAGTGCCAGCCGGGGTATTTGATCCAGGATGAGGGTCCGCAGGATGTCATCCCCTTCTCCACTTGAAAGGACTGTGCACGGGCAACACTGTTCATTTTTGAATAATACTTAGCTACGATTTGTCAAATAATATCCAACTCGCCCTGTCTCTTCCTGGATACTCATCGTCTCCAAACATTTTTGCCGGAGCTCGAGGCTTGCGAGACCAATGGACTCGGGTCTACGAACTCTTAGTTCTGTTGCAATATTCAGACTCCTCGCCCCCAAGAGTCAGATTTCGTGCATCGTATTCTACGGAAAGCAGTGTTAAGTTTTAAACTATTTCAAGTTATTCGCTGACCAAACCAAGGAATGATGGTGTGCAGATCTTTTCCCGAGAATAACATGTCCATTGCTCGGACTTCGCCGCAAGTTGAATTTTTCGAAAGGTCACATGTATTTGGTTTCATTATTTAAGTAAGAGCGGGGGCGAGCGTACAGGACGCCGCATTTATCCAGTTGAACCGGGAATGAAAGAAGGATTGGAAAGTCATACCTTTGAAGGCAGAATAATGAAATAAAAAACGACGAAAACCCAAAGGGATGGCCGGACCTTGAATCGAACAAGGAACTCCTGCAAAGACGGACTTCGTTTCCCTAGTACTCAGGGCAGATATGTTACCATTACACCACCAGACCAGTCCCTTCCATGCCCCAGAGCTGAAATAAATGCACGACTTCTGGGAACGACAGAAAGAACAAAAAAAACCGGCCACGACCTACCCTTGAATCGAACAAGGAGCATCCAGTGAAACAGCAGACCTTGTGTCTGCACATCTGGTAACGAGCTTGGCTGGACCGTGGTTGAACACAAGGTTGAACCTTCAAGTGCTCATCAGAGATACTCCAAGGCTATTTTTCTAGATTCCTAAAAATAGCTATATCCATGATTTCTATAAACGAAACAATTGAATTCGGAGGTGTGAAGTGCAGCACATATAGAGTGCAAGGTCAATGGGTATTGAATCAGTACATATCCAGAAATTTCTCGTGGCCCTCAAGACCACATACATCAAGAACAACAAGCGGACACAGCGCGGCCGTCTGTCCGCAGTACGACAAAGCGGTGGCTCGCACCGCCGATGAAGTCTATGAATACTTAGGTGGGCGCTCAAGGGCAGAACACGACGGTGAACGCAATGCTGCCCTTGCCGCACGCTTTGACTGGGAGGTCGTTCCCGCAGCCCGTCATGTCCTGCGTGCAGTCTGTCAGCATTAGCCGTGTGGTGGGCTGCGATTACTTACGCCGATGGGGTAGGCGTTCTCGCACTGCGAAGTGGGGGTCAGCATCGGACGGGCGAAAAGAGGGAAGGCGGCGTACCCCGCAGCTCGCGCTGGTGCAGGTCACGGTGGAGCAGCCCGCCGCGCCGAGGGAGATGCTCTGCGTGAAGCCCTGGATGTTGCTGATGTCGTACGAGTTGGGCGTGTAGAAGCTGTCCGCGTCTATACGCATACATAGATCAGCGCGGTTCCTCATTAAATAAAATGTGTGGCGACGCACCAAGGTTGAATTCAAGCATCGTGCAGTCCTCGCCCTTGGCGCCGCAGCTTCCGTTCTGCGTGAATATCCGGCCGACGAACTGCGGGTGTCCGTGAGTGGAAATTCCGAAGAAAATGTCCGAGTCGACGCACATTGTTGGGGACATTGACGGTGGTCGTCTGCCCAGCGGCAAGAGAGCCAACAGAGGGCATGGTGGTCGTCGAGGCGTCCGCGCAGCGCGGGCTGTAGCCACACGCGGTGCTCACGACCATTGGCTTCACCGCGCTCGAGCACTTGTTTATCAGCGTGAACTGATGCCCGCCGCTCGAGCTTGAGCTGGAAGACGTCGTGCCAGTCTCCGTCGAGGCAGCGGCAGTGGAAGTAGTGTGCTTGGCCGTGGTACTCGTGCTCGTCTTCTCAGCCGCGACCGTGCTCGTCTTCTCGGCAGCGACCGTGGTCGCTTCCTCGGTCGTCGAGGTGGTTTTGGCTGCATCCTCTGTGGTAGTCACGAGGTCTGTCGTCGAGCTGGCTGCCGCCGTCGACGCGGACGATGTGCTAGGTGGCTTACAGCTCCGACGCCGGTGTAGTTTGCGAGATACTGGGTGTCTCTCGCTAAGCTCAATGGGATGAGCTATGCGCTCCGCGAGGCCCCGGTGGTGCACCGCGTGGCCATGGATGCTGGTGGTCTGTGCTATCGTAGCAAGACCGAGGACAAAAAGAGTGGAGATCAAAGGCGCAAAGACCATTGGGACGTAAGGAACGGAAGGGGGGAAGGAGGGGGATGCGGTGAGGTGGAGGTAAAACGTAAACAACAAGACGGCATAATCTTGCCGCGAAAACTGATGGTAGGACTATGCGAAAACTAAAATAGGAACGAAAAGGAATGGCAAGGAATTGGATGAAGAATATGTGGGCAGTTTTGGTTGAGACCCTTTTGAATATGTCGATAAGGTCATGCCGGTCAAAGCGTACAATATAATTATCCTCCTACGTCTTTTTTACGGAGGTTCAATTTCAACGGGCACATACATACATATACGCAACACCCAATCCCCCAGATATTTAATACGCAATCACCGGCTCATCCAACCCTAGCCAAGGAGAAAAGCGCAAAGGCACCTGCGGAGGATATGTGAGCGCGAGCTGAAGGCCGGCGTCCGTAAATGCGCGAAGGCTTGCGCGGAGGTCAACCTGCATGTTGCGAGTAAACCCGATCTCGACGCGCTCCAGCCGCCCACAATACTCAGCTGTCATTCTGGAAGTTATGAAGTGCATGAGCGCCTCATCAGAGAGCGTGCTGCACTGGGATACAAGAAGGGTCCGCAGTGCGGGGCAGCGGGGGGCAGGGTCGGTGGGCGATGGGGTGAGGATGTCGAAAACGTCGTCGTCGAGCGGCTCTGTCCCGGATGGTGACCACATCTGGGTGACCTCGAGCTGCTGCATTGTAGGCGGCAGGCCGTTAAGGAGGGCCACGAGAGCCGTCTTCGAAAACGTTTCTGTGGAGATGTCGATGCTTTCCAGCCGCGGGGAAGCGGCGAGGAAATGCGAGAAGGACAGCGTCTCGTGCCAGGACTCGTCGCAAGATCCCCGAAGTTTGAAATGCCCCAAATCGGGGAGTGACAGGCGGCAGAACAGCCGCCGAAGAGTATACGCTGGGTAAACGCACTCTGTGTCTAGTGTGCGTAGGTAGGGGCACTCGATGATAGAACCCACCCCAGCGCCTTGCCAGTTTGGAGGGTCGTTGACTGCGAGGCGGCACACCCGAAGCTCAGGGCACCAGGAGAGAATCTGGACAGCCATGTCGCTGGTTAAGGTAATCCCCGAACCCCAAGTGATATCTATCATCTCGAAGACAGTTAACTGGCCCCACCGAAGCGACAACCCGGTAGGGCTGAGATTTCCCGCCGAAATGGAAAATTCGGTGACCTTGGGTCCACGAAAGATCCCAAACGAGGCCCAATGCTCTCCAGGTTCTGAGCGCTCGTATACTTCGATGCGCCGGAGAATAGGCACCTCGTTTTCTGTGAGTCGGGACAGACTGTCGGGTATTGGCGCGGACAGCGAGAACTGGATGTGCTGCCAACGGGATGCGAATGGAATGAGTGCCTCGACGAACCGGCTGCTGTCGGGGAGTATATCCGGAAGTGTCACCCCCACTGGTCCGCCGAAATTTACTTGGCCACCTTCCAGCGAAATGGACAAGGGACACTGGCCAGAGCGACCTAGCCAATCCTTCGTGGTCTCTAGCCGCTGCGCGAACTTCGCATCGAATGCAGTACAAGCTGTGGGCGCCGTGTCATAAGGGCGCGTAGGCTCGACAATATGGAGCCTCGCCCAAAGGCGGGGCGTGGAGAGGGATATCGCTCGCCAGGCGCTGCATATGCGCCCCAAAAGAACAGGTGCCTCGCGCGCGCTCATGACGCAGTTCCGTTGCGGGGGGATGCAAGCCACGAAGATCTCCTGGATGATGTCGAGCGGGAGGCGTCGAACAGGGGAAATGAGAGCTTTGTGCGCCTCCACATAGACACCGAGGCTGTTCCACTCCTCTCTAAGTTTGTCGATGGCTTTCTGCATATCGGCGATCTCATCCGTGAGACGCTTCAGACGAAGAGTAGGCTCGATGAGGAGGGCCCTAATTTCTGGGATTTCCTCGTCTTTGGGACAGTAGTTCGTCCCTAGCTTTGAGGTGAATGGGGAGGACATCACCGTATATCAGGAGGAGACACGCTGGCGTGACTGATGGGAAACACGTACCAACAACGCGTTGACAACGCGTAGCTTGCGCGTAGCCCGGAAGGGACGCGCAGCGGCGGGAGGTGTATCGTAATGCATTTTATGATCCACCTTCTTTTGCTTGCACAAGCAGGCATTCATTGCTTAACACAGAGGGAGGCCACAGTTGTCAGTGAGTTTGCAGAGTGCTGATCTGAGGCCCTTATTTGAATCTCTTGTTGGAGGGGTCGCCCTTGACCTAGTTAAAGCTCTAATGGGTAATACTGCCTGGGCATAGTGTAAATTTAAAAGAGCTTGCGAAAAATCGCGGAATCGTCTGATCGTAGCTTATAACTTGAAAATTGAATTACATATGATCAAATTCATCGAGAGGTAGTGAACTTGCATAACATCATTGCCTCCCAAATCCACTATATCTTACCAGAAAACTTAGTGGCAAAGGCAAAATATGTACGGAACGCCGCTTCCGCGAAGAAATCGAGATTGAGATCATGGCCGCTACCCTGCAACACTGCCAGTTCAAAACTCTCCGCCGCCTGCCAGAGTACGCGTTCCAACGCGGTCAACGCCGCAACATCGTCGCATCGCCCGGTGCCCGCGCAAAATATCTGGTCTTCCGACCCAACGATCTTTGCTACCGGTCCGGCGTAGTGCGGCACAGGCAGTCCTGTCGTAGGCGTCTGCAAGAACGTGCCCACAGTCCCGACGTCCTTCGTAAATTTGTCAAGTATCATCATGCGGGGTGAGAACGAGGCGGGGTTAGCGGGGTAGAAGGCGGTGCGGTTGTCCGTCGAGACGTAGCCGGGGTCGAGTGTGCCCCAGCGAACCGGATCCACGACCCGCGCGGGAGGGACGATGGAGATGGGCGGCACCGCACTTGGATCGAAAATGAGCGAGGCCGTCAGTATGAGTCCGTCGAAGGGCGACTGAGTGCCGTCAACGATGGCGCCAAAGTTGAGCAGGCCTGACCCGGCGCTGTGCCCAATGCCAATGATCTTGTTGAAGGGTGCGACGCCCGGGAGAATGGATGTTGTTTTGAGGTGGCGCGCCACCTGCGAGACGGCAGCCGCGGCAGTAGGATACTGCACATCGGACGCATTTGTTGGTCGCGAGCTCAACCCTACGCCTACCCAGTCGATAGCGAACGAGGAGCTTCCATGATCGCACGAGAACGTCGCGTAAGAGTAGTTTCGGAATTCCTCCACCGGGAGCGACCAGTATTGGCTAGTATAGGTGAATCCGTGCACAAGGAGCTGTAACACATCTAAGAAAGATTGTGAGAATCATCGCCGGCGGCAAGTGTGAGCCTGCAACGCACCTGAACTCTTTGGGGCCTCAATCATCGGCTCACAGAAGACACCGTAGATGTTGTACGGGTCGTCGACGCGGCGTAGAGCGCTTGCATTGCTCTTCAGTCCGCCAAATA